CCCCCTGCAAAGCTAACAATGTTTCTCCACCTGCCTACGCCTTTTGCCTCAATATAGCTCTTTCTGCCGTTCTCTCATGAGTAGCGGGATAATTAAGCACTGAGTTTAGCAATAATAAAATTGATAAGTGAAAAGGATCAGACGAAAGTCAGCTTACGTGAATCTTCAGTGTGGGTTGTCCCAACAATCAACAGAAAATAAGCAGTGTCTTGAAGGGTTTCAGTAGTAAGATTATGTAATGACCAACACATTGATGAATTCATTGTTTCTTTGAACACTCTTGTCAGTGAGAGTTCTTCTGACAGAGGACAGGGATAAGTAGTGATCAGTGCGATTGTTGCCTACGAACTTCCTTATCGCTGAGGGGGAAATTTCAGCTACCGCAGAGTGGGGGGATATCCCGGAGACTTCAGCAAAGGTAGTTCTGCCATGATGGCTTTTTTTGTGAGTGGTACAGCTATAGAAAGGTTGAGCCATGTAGAAATACGCAGGGTTCATGAGTTTCACGAAAATATTGGTATATTTCAAAAACTATTTGTAAAGAATATCACTGACCAACAGTGTTCTGGAATATGGCAAAACATAGTCACCCAAAGTTCAGTAATTTTGCTTGGAAAATCCTGCAAATACCTGCTTTTGCTCAAGTGGAACATGTATTTTCAAATTGGTCTTGCATACATTCACAACTCTGAAATAGTTCAGATTTTGAAAGATCAAAACTACTTCATATTTATTACACTTAAAATGTTAGGTAACAACATTGCAGATGATTACTGAGAACCGTTTAATTTTGTTAAAGGGACGGTTGTACATTATGTAATTTTGTTCAGAAAATAAAATCAAAGAAAGTTTTTTCTGTGTTTTAGTTCAGAAGAAATAACCCTTTAAAATTAGTTTCTATTCACGAAGTTAAATAAAATATATTAATTTATATTATATACATATTTTAGATGCTGCATGTGCCAGATTTGCAAATCTCTTCAATACTTGGAAAAAGGGTTGGTAAACTGAACTTATAATTAATATGTAGAAAGGAACTTTAATATTTTTTATAAAGAAAAAGACAAAAATATGAAAACTTACCTTCGTGAATTGAAACTGAAATACAGTTGTTACCTTGAGATATATTTAATTTGTAAACAATTATTAAATAACTATAAAAAAACAAAAATCCCTTGTATGCCAGGGAAAATCAACCAAAATTTACAAGTATTTGAATATTAATTTTATGATTTAGGAATTTTTGCTTGAATTTTACCCAACACAAAAATATTATATTTTAATCATACAGAAATAAAAAATATTCTGTTATTAGAATAGTATGAATATGTTTTAACTCGGAAGTGCTTGCAATAGATCTGTGGGATCAAGCCACGGCAATTTTATGTTCCTGAATTATTGCGATGCATTAGTCATATATTATGTATTTCTTAATTATACTTTTCCAAGAACA